TGTTGCTGTTTGGCCCTGTGGTGGTCCCGCTTCCGCTGCTGGTTCCGGCGTTGGCGGGCGTTCAGCGTTACTGCTGGTGGTGTTGCCGGTGCGGTTGCCGCTTGTGTCGGGGGTGGCGGCGGCTTGAAGGTGGGTGTTGCTGATGGCCTGGTCGCTGTCCTCGGAGCTGGAGCTGGCCACTCCATCAGCGGCCTTGGTGGTGGCCTCTCGTCTTCCCGACACCGTCCGGTACACGATCGTGTTGTTCGATAACACTGTGTGGTGTGGGCGGATCGGTGGGGTTGCCTCCGGTTGTTGTTCCGGTGCTTGGCGTGCCATACCCATCTCTAGGCGTCGCATTGTCTCTGCAATGCGACGTTGGTCTTCGCCAAAGCGGGCCATACAGTTCTCGAGCATGGTCAGTCGTGATTCCAGACCGCAGCCATGCGCCGAGTTCTCCACCGCTTGCCGTACCTCCTCTATTATGGTACGACCCGTTTGGATCATACCCATAGTTTGTTGGTGTGTGGGTGTGGTTGATGGTTGGGGTGTTGTATTGTTGGTGGTGATCTGGGGTGGGGCGTGTGTTGTCTCGATCTGTATTTGCGCGGTTTGACTGGCGTCGGTTACCAGACCTGTGGCCGAGCTCTGTCCGGTGTGCCCAGTGGGTTCCATAGGCGGGAACCGGATTTCGTTGGCCTGCAGGTTCATGTCCGCGAAATGTTGTGTTAATCGGATTTCGAGATCACCCTTCGCTCCCGTATCCGTTAAACCGCGCTGTCCGCATTCGTAGCGCAATTCCGCGGCGGTCAATTCATTAATATATTTTCCCGGCATGACTTCCGGTTGGTTTTCCGGTGTTGTTGACGAGAAATTATAAAATGTGGCTGTTGTCGTTGGAACGGGTATCGCGTTCCTTCGATCAGCTGTGTTGCCCGCTTATCGGTGTTTATTTGCGTACGGAATGTAGGTCAGTGGGTTGTTATTGTTATTGTTGCGCTTGCCGGGCGATCACAGTAACCGGTCTTCGCAGAGTGTTTTCGCGGATGCGCGTGTGTGCGTTATCCGGTGCACTACTGCGATTAGGGAAAGCGGCGGCTGTCGCTTTAAGCGGCGGCGGCGGCAGTCCGATTACGTGGTATTTTTGTCCCGGGTAATCGCGTGTTGTCGCTGGCGGGTGGTGGTGCTAGGCGGTGGTGGTGTGACCCTCTCGCGCTCTTGCGTTCCTACCTAATGCCTACCTACGTCGTGTGTGTTTGGTGCGTCGCGCGCGGTGCGGTCGGTGCGTCCGTGAGTCGGGCGGCGCGGCCGGTCGTTACGTCCTTTATGGTTATGTAATATATTACGTAACGCCGGTTTTTCCGTTACCGCCTGCAAACCACGTTTTTGCCGGATCGCGTTGGTGACTTTTTTCCAAAACGCGCAACGGGGGTTTGTTTGGGGGTGGTAGTATGTGGTAAGAAAGTTTTCACTTACCGGTGATTCCTGTTCGGGGAGCCAATTTGACGCAGACTTCTATTGAGCCGCGTGGTGTTGTGAGGTGAATAGGTGATGGTGGTGACCGACCGAGGATCGTCGGGTCGAAATAAACCAAAACGAAGTGATCAATCACAAAATAACAACAAACGAAAACGCACTAGTGTGACCGAGTTTTATTATTAAGAACTAAAACAAAACAAGAAAAATATACGTTCAGTATAACGGTATTTCAAAGGTATCGGGTTCACGGAAAACGTGGGTAGGTCTTTCCGTGTCGGAGTCGTGAGGACGAGATAGCGCGCCTTGGTGATCCGGTTCGCTGGACGGCCGGCCGACGGTTCCAGGCGCGCGTGTCGCGCGCCGGCGTCGTCCGTCGTCGGTTGGCGGTTTGATTGAGAAGCCGCGGCGCGGCTTCCGCGCAAAGGCTGTTTGAATTCAAACAGATTTTGCGCGGGACCGCGTCAACCTTATATTGAGATAATGTTTTATTTATAGATTGTATTGCTCCTGGGAAATATTCTCCTTCATAAATCACAACGACATAATCACCCACATTCAGGGTCTTTTTGATTTTTTGTGCTTCAAAATTTGTTTTTTCTAAATTAGGAACATCTTTAGAATTAATGACTTTTGGTTTTTTAATAGGAACTTTGTTTATTTCTTTAGATTTTCTCTTATTTTCAGTCTCAATTTTTTTCATCAGTCTTGCGTTTCTTTTTCTAAGCTAAGAGTTTCTTTGGCTAGCTTTTTATCTTCTTTTTCTTTTTGTATCTGCATCCATTTACTTGAAGTTATAACATAAGGAACAGGCATTGTTTTAATTTTATTTTTAAAATCACTATTTTCTTCTTTAGACCATTTAAAATGTTTATCCCAAATTTGTTGAGTTGAGTTTTTAGTAACATTATCTGGATCAGTTTCTTTATTTTTTATAGCTCCAGAAAGTTTTACTGTATTTTCTACTAATTCATAAATATTTTCACTGTCAACTTTGTCAATGTTATATAAACATTTTGTTGGATTTTTTGCAGTACTAGAAATGTTTGTATAATCATTTTCATTGCAAATTGTATCACAGTTTTTTGAATCTTCTACACTTGAAACTTGTGTCACAGAAGTTTTTGATTTATTTATTACATTATCAAAACTATTTGAGCATACATTTTTTTTTACAACCAAGTCCAAATTAAAATTTTCTACATTTGAATCTATAAATAATTTTCGGAATTTGTTAACAGCGGTTCTTCATTTAATACTTCAATCCCTGACAACTCAAGTTCATTATCAGTAAACATGAGAGTTATGACTCTTCAATTTCAATTGGTATGTCTAATATATTTAATTCTTGAGTTTTTGTATAACTAGTTAATAGTATCATCGCTTCTACTATCGCATTCGTTCCATATTTTGGCTAACAATGTATTATTATTTATAAAATGTTCTAACTCGTGGTCTCTTAAAATATAACTGATTACACTTTTGCATACAAGATAGTCATTTGAATTTGGAGTTAAGAATGAGACCTCTGGTTGTTGAAGTTCAGCTATCCTTGTAGGAATGCATTTATTGTAGTCCACAGCATCAGGATTTAAAGGATATAACTCACATGTTCTAAACCCATTAATGATCGATTCTGGTTTAACTTTATCAAAAGCTTTTTAAAATATTATACCAAAATTATTTTTTGTGTTTGGACTTTTTGAATTTAAATTATGTGGTCTGGTAACTTCTTTCCAATAAGATTTTAGAGGTTTGAATATGGAAACATCACAAGGTTGTAATATGTGGGTGGAATTTGGCAACAAGCAATACAAATGAATTTTTTTATCATAACAAAATTGAAAAAGTTCCAAGCTTAAATGGCTTTTATGACCATCGACATAAAGAATGACAGGAAACTCTATTTTGTTTTCAACTAACCATGGATAAACTACATTTGCAACATATTCATAAAATGTGGCGGATACCATCCATCCATTAACCGAACGGCCAATTGCCCAATCGTCTGGCAAAGATTGGGCAATGTGCAAAGAAATCCTTTTGTATGAGTATATAATCATTGGAGGTAGTGATTTTCCATCTGCAGAATAAGTGCAAAGGACTGTAATGTTTTCTTTTTCTCCACTTCTAGCTACTTCATAAAAATTATTCATTTTCCTAGGTCCTAAAACTTTGCCAGATTTCGGACATAACTGTAAGCCAGTTTCATCACAGTTTAAAATCCTTTTCAGATCATTAAGTATATCTAAGCTACCTTCTTCCTCTTAGTATAATTTAACATCACTAAACCAATATCGAATAGATCTCTCTGTTACTTTAGCTCTTGCTTTAGATATAATCTCAGCATTTCTTTTTTTCATTTCTGGATGTCTTTTCAAAAATAAAATAAACCATTTAATGCCGGGGCGATTATTAATAAAAGGATTTTGTTTTGGGGATTCTTTTAAAACACTTTGTACTGAATATTTTAATTGTTCAGGGTGCACTGGAAAACCAACTTTAGCATTTGACAATATCCAATTTACAATTTGATTTTCTTTGTCAACTGATAAAACAGATGGTGGTCCCATTTTACGTTCTAAAGGAACTTTATTATTTACCTTGGTACTAAGAGTAGCTTTAGGTATTCCTGTTTCCTTGTGTACCTGATTGAGTGATTTTTTTTTACTCACAATAGCTTTAACTGCATTAACCAAATCATTATGGGTATATTGAAATCTTTTGTATTTCTTCCCTTGTTTTAATTTTTCTTATGATTCCGTTTCACTCATGTTTAAACTATAAAATCAAAATTTAGATTAAATGAAAACAATTAATAATATTTCTATTAGTTTAAAACTATAACACTTGAAAGCAATTAAAAAAGGTTAATGCACCTAGTTTGAGTATTTTTTTTCCAAAATGTCAAGTTCTCATTCACAGAACTAAAGTTGTATTTGTGAATAAACCCAGTAAATAAACAGTTGTTCATTTACTGAATACAACAAATAAAATTTAAAACCAGTTAATGAACACTGTTCATTTAGTGGAATTTTGTTGATTGTAAACACCAGTGCTTAAACAGCGATTAAATAGTAAGAAAAATAAGAAAAATGCTTAAAACCAATTAAAAGCGTTATACGCTCTTAACAAAATAAAAAAAAATCACAAATTAAAGAATTTGATAAAAACTATGGTGATAATTAATGGAGGGAAAAGCTTACCATTCTAACAAATTGATTAATGCTCCTATGATAATACAATTTACAGTGTTACCTTATTATAAGTTCAACATAGTGTTAAGCTAAATATATTATTGTATTAACCGATGTATGCCTTATTATTAGAAAACAACGAGTATTCATTTATTGGACCTGTTCATTCACTGGGCCTGTTAGCCAAAACATTTTTTAAATAACAATATATTAATTATGGTAATTATCGAGGTAATTATGGTAGGTATGACTTAAATAAAAAGAAAACAAACATAACATCATAAAATAAGCACCCAAGTTCCCTAACTTGGGTTTTAAAAAAAAAACTTGAATTTAATTCTAAGTGTTTTACTTTTCTTTTACATCAACACTCAAAGGAAATTCATAAATACATTTTCTATTGCACTGAATAAGTTTTGGTTCTGGTAGAATAGCTAAAATCATATCAATGGTAACATTCGATAAGTCATTTTCTTTTATAGAAAATTGGGTATTTTGATAATTTTCTTTTTGTAAGCCCTGTACAAGTATACACCCATCTTGATTTTCATCCATACGGTTCACACAACATATGTATGAAAATTTGGTTTTTTTTCTATTACCACCAATAAATTGTACCAATAGAAAGTCACCAGTTTTTAAATCTGTAAATACTGGTTTTCTATATTGAACTTCAGAGACATTTAAACCATAGTCCAATAATATGACATCACACATTTAACATTAATTCTGCAGGTGTTTCCTTCCAGGGCGGCATACTTTTCTGTAATGTGAAACTTACAAAATAATTCGTCACTTAAAGTGTAACAGTAGGGTGTAGTTTTTCAGGGTAATAAGTGAAGTAAGTATATCAAAAAGTGAATGTGATAAATTCGGAGTGTAAAGTAACAAAAATAATAAATACATATTTAAAGCAATTAAAAACATATAGTTTGTGGTAACAGTCAAAAGCCAACGAATGTGGTAATGAAACTACCCGTCCTTCACTCACAATAATATTACAATTCAAAAATCGATTGACAGATTTAGAGCATCTCTTCAGCGCCTATATTGATCCAAAATATTCAGTTTGTAAGGAATGTAATAGTATAAAGAAATCTGCAAGAACACTGGGAAATCACAAATTTATTGAGAATGACATTGTTGAAACTCTTTCAAAATTTAGTGATATTCCGAAAGTGTTAAATGAAAAGTAAGAATTGTTTGGTAAATATTTTATTTAGGTATAACTATAAATTATGATAATCGGAAATGAAAACAAATTAAACCATAGTGGTAAACATATTATCAATTAATTAATAGTTTTTCATATGAGCACGAAATTATTAACGAACAACTTTTTAAAGATTTTATATTTTTGTTAAAAAATAGTTATTGATGATGATTTGAAAGTTTTCAATAGCTACTACAGTGGCGTATTTACGGGGGGGGATCATTGGGTTTGATCCCCCCCAAGGCTTGAGTTGAGTTTTTTTTTTTTTTTTAAATCTAAATTAGACGATAGTCCTGGAGCCGTCGAAAGAGTGAGGACTGAGGAGAGCGCGCGAGCAGCTGCTGGCTTATTTTGTAGTATTTCTGGACATTCTACTGGTAAAGAAAAATTCTTTATGTGCAACTATTCCTAAATTGTTATATAATGGATCATTAGAAATTAAATCTGCCAAGTTTGTTGATGTGCAATGCCTAGCATCAAAGTATGTTCCACCTGAATACATTTGGTTCTATAGATCTTTAGTTGAAGAAACCAGTTCTAATCAAGATAACAATGGTACTATATCCAATGATGAAGATGACTAGGTATTAAAAATTGTTACTCAGTTTTAATATTAATATTAAGGCGGCTCTTAGTGGCTATTATTTAAGGGGAACAATTTAGGCAATTTCTAATCTTGTCGTCGCCGCCCGTAATCTATGTGTTAGTCGTAAATGATTATTAGTGTGAAATTCGAAGAAATTCGAACTCGATAACAATAGATTTTATATCGCCCGGCTGCGGGCACACGGTTCAATAGCACACGTACGCGCATGCACAAGTCAACGTAATCACTCTCGAAAAATATTTTTGTACACTCACAACAGTGAAAAATGCTAATAAGCTGGCGAAAAATACACATACTGCTAGTAGTCCAATTTCAATTTTGAAAAATTATTTGAATTCGTCAGCCTCTTTTCTATGATTTGTAGGAAACCGATTTTGGATATTTTAGATAATTTACGTATATTACAGTTCCAAATGACTGCTTGATTTCTCAAATTTAACTTGCACTTTTAAGTGCTAACTAGACAAAAAGATGAAAAAGTTTTTCCTACAGATCATAGAAAAGAGGCTAACGAATCCAAATAAGTATTCAAAATTAAAATTTGACTACTAGAAGTATGTGTATTTTTCGCCAGCTTATTGGTCTAAATGCATGAAAAATCCAATCGTTTAGAGCCGCCTTAAAGAAAATATATTTTAGAATATTAAGAAATCAAAATGATTATTAGTTTTGTTTTATTAATTTTATTGTTTTGAAGTATAATTTTGTTTAAGATTTCAAATTTGAATTATTATGAGTGATATTATTTATTATTTTTATTATAAAATTTAAGAATCAAGGAGATCATTAGTTTTGTTTCAAATATTTTACTGTTTAACTATGATTGATAAAAAATCAAGTTAATTAATAGTTTTGTTATAAATATTTCATTGGTTTTTATTATTTTATTTGTTGTAAGATATTATATGTAATGACTGATAAAATCAAGCTGATAAATAAAATATCCATGTTACTAATATTTTTATTTTACTATCTTTTACCATGTTCATATCATTTATAATGTAGTTAAATGTGTTTACATTCTACTATGACTAATATTATTACCTATCGCTATCTTTAAGGTATGATAGCCAGTTTTTATGTAAAATTAAATGAATAACAATTTAATTTTTCAGTTAACATAATACTAAGTGGTTAAAGTAGAAATATTACTGAAGAATAAACAAAATTCATAAAGTAATATATTTAAACTATATATAGCTAAATATTATTAGTGGAAAAACTTATGACTTCTATACACTATTACTAAGCTTATTTTAATACATTTATTTGTATATTTATCAGAGTTAAAACTAAAAACAATAAATCATTTTTGGAGTTATCTTGTTTATTGTCCAGAAATTATAACTATTTTTTTGTTTATTTTTAAAATCATGTACAGGTTTAGTTTTTTTTTCTTAAAACTCAAGTATGCTGTTTGATAGTATAATTACATGATAATTATTAACTCAGTTAAATAAAAAAAACTAATTCTTAGTAAGATTTTTACATTATAAAAAAAAATAAAAAAAAAAAAGATTTAATAACTCCGAGCAATAAACAAGACAACTCCAAGAAAAATTTCTTATTTGTGGCTAAAAGTGTAAAAAATATTCATGTATCAACTTAATTAAGGGTACCACAGTTTTTATCACTATTTTAAGTATATAAAATAATTTTTCTTTTTATTATTCTTCACTTAAATATATATTAAACATTAAATATGTGCTTCCTGAAAAAAATGATAAAACGGAGCTGTCTGGTTATTGCACGGAGCCCTTCAATTGTCCAAAACATCTAGAAAACTAGACTAAGTATTTAAAGTTAGGGGGTGAGGGGGGCGGAGCCCCCCTCGAGTTGATAAGTACTGGATAAAATCATATCCCCCCCCATGACAAAATCCTAAATACGCCACTGAGCTACTATAATACTTTAATATAATTTTTAACATTATAATAATATCATACTTACTATGTACTTATCATATAATTTCAGGTTTATTTTAGTAGCTGTAATACACTTATCACCATGGACTCTATACAAAATAGGTACATAGATAAAGTATGAAAAAATATATGGAAATTGCATAAAGACCTCAATAAAAAAATAACCGTGTTCAAAAAAGGAGAATATAATGTACAACCTCACATATGTATGTACAATCAAAATGATTTTTTTTTTGCAAACTACATTTTTTTCTGTGAAAAACTTTTTAACTGTAAGTACCTAACACATAATATTATATAAAATAGTAAAAAATACCTGCTTTTATTCAATGTAGTTACATTATTTTTATTATTTTTTTTAAAAACTATTATTAAAATTATAATATTGTTATTAAAATTAACTTTTAATATAGGTACCTATTAATATTGTTAAGTTTGTTTCTACTTTACTACTTTAGGTTAAAATTTGTATTACCTATTTTGTTTGATATTATTACCAGTAATTTAACTATTTTATTTCATTTAAACCTTTCTATAGTAAGCTGTTATGAGTGTTATGGCTATACTGTATTTGTAAATAGTTAATACGTTTGTGATATCATTTTAATTACTGTTTTGTAATTGTGATCTTATTTTATACCTACTAAGAAGTTGAAAGAATCATAAACATACCTAAAATTTATGAAAATTTTATTTGATCATCCTACAAGTTGATAGCAATGATTCATTTTTATATAATTATTACTACAATATTGTAATATTGTAATTATTGTAGTTTACTTTTATATATTAATACCATGTCATATTTTTTATACTTTGTTATAGTTAATTTGTATTATTTTATTTTGTTGGTTATAACTTATAACCAGTGTAACATTTATAGCTATAGCAATCTGTTATGGAATGTGTCAACTATACTTATATATAGAGATATAGTCAAAATGTTTGTGATATCATCTTAGTTAGATACTATTGTTAGTTGTATTACTTATTTTATACCTAATATCTACCCAGACGTTGAAAGAGTAAACCATAACAAAATAAACAGGAATTACAAAGGGATTTTCAATATTTTATTTGGTCTATTTAGTATTTAAATTATTCTGTTAAAGTTCACAAATTCAAAAACTCACAGGTGGAATGAACACATCTAAAATACAGTGTTGCCTATTTTGATATTAGATGATGTGATAAAGACAATACATTTTAACTAACCGTTAGGTATAGTACCTAATGTAAAAGTTGAGACTAAATTGTTTCAATACCGCACGTTGTATAATTCAGCTAGTCGTGACTCGTGGTATAAAAATAAAGCGAACGGTGTTTTCCATACAAGTATACAACTATAATGTATTTAATATTAAAACTATGTATAATACGTAACAAAATTTACCCATATTAGGTAATCTGTAGTTTATAATTTTGGTCAGTCTTTATTTACGATAGAGTGAGTAAACTATTATATGTATAATCGGTGCACGTCATTTCTCGCAAGCAACAGTCATCAAAGGTTTCTTAAACAACATGGTTTATTTATTTTAAGTAACAATACAATTGGAAATATAGATCACTCGGAGGAGTATTGGTACAGTTCTGTGAAAAAAAATCGTTAAATTATTTAAATGACACGCTAAAAACCGTAACATTTAAATACAGTACACCCTCTCACCACCCCTTCAAGACACAAGAATGAAAAATCGGGTGACGTGATGAAAATTGGTTATTTTTAAAACGGCGTATTCCACGGCGTTTTCTGTCGAATTCTAAATGCATTGGTTTATATCGAAGTATACAATACGGATGTAATACGGCGAGTTTTCATCCGCGGAGGAAAACTCTGGTCGGCTTGCGTTTCGGCGACGAAGTAATAAAAACGCAAACTCCTAATTTTACATTGTTGTATATTAGGATAGTCTATACTGGTATCGGAAAACGCCTCGCTTACACCATAATTTTATGAACACAATAATTT